AAGTATGATTGGCATATTAATTTGAATCCTGAAAAAAAAAAAAAAAACCTTTCCTGAAAGGTACTTAAGGTTTCATTGTAGGCCTCCAAGAAATGCCCATTCACTCATTTTTAGTTTCTTATTTTTTACAGAGTTGAGTTTTATTATCTATGATTCTTTCACTTCACTTGTTTCTAAGCAATCATCCCATTAGACCTGAAGGAATGTCTTCGCCTTAATAAATCCCTTAAGCCCTCTGGCTTTTGATTTTGTTAATAACTAATTCTAACATAGAAATACTAAAGAGGAGCATATGTTCATTTTTCTCATCTTTATTGAAAAGGTTCTTTAATTGTCTACAATTGCTTAGCCAAAACAATTCTAGTAGCACTTTGGACAGATCCAGTCTTAGATTAGTTATGGAACTAATAACTAATATAATCATCCTTTAGTATTATTCAACAAAAGCACCACAAAAGGCTTTTCAAATATGACTTATGACATATACTGAAGGTTGAATATATGTTTAAACTAGTGAATGTAAGTGTGGTATGATTATCTGTTATTTTTATTTAAGATAAGTATAGACTGAAACTTTGGAATGTTAAAATAAATGAACCTTCCAGTTGTATGGACATTACTGGGGAGACAGAGCAGGGTGAGGTCAGAAAGCCTGGAAAAGTCACGACTTGCATTTGTATAAAAATGACACATAACACAAATAATTCCTTCACTCACTTCATACTGTACCCTAGCACCACAAGGACCACTGTGAGGACTGCATAGTTACATGATCCATGTTGTGCACTGAAATCTTTAGGACAAATTTTTAGGTTCAATTAACTTTAAATTCAGGCATATTTCCACAAATGTTTTAAAGTGATAGGTCAGTATATGTCCTGTTCTGTTCATTTCTACTTGAATTATTGAATGAGGGAAAGGTTATATTTAGTGAACTATACTCAGAAACTTGTCATTGCTTTGAATTTCCTGTCTTAGGCCCTGAGTTAGGATATCATGGCTGGGACATGATTACCATGGATTCAGGATCAGTATATTGGAGGTAAATGGCAAGATTGAAAACAGTTGGATGTAAGAGAAGTCTTAGAGACTATGATATTTCACACTGCACCAGAGCTAGCCTTTCTATCCTTTGCTCTTATGCTAATGACAATGTTTCTAAATTGTATATAATGATAATAGAAGACAAAAGGTTAACATATTTGAACCATTTACCCTGACTTGAAAAATTAAGAAGCCCCAATAACACATTAGCAGAGATCCTGTCTTTGTGATAAATGTATGCTACATATTTGTTCTGGTAAAATAGAAGGCATTTCCAAAATTTACTTTCTAAATATTTAGGAGGGAATAAATTTTCCTGCTTTCTTTTTTCCCATACGCTTTTAAAAACAGAACCAAAGGTTTTAAAAAATTCCAGTCATCATCATTGAAGCTTCCAATTCTTTTCATAACTGCTTTTGGTAAAAGTTATTTTAATGTAATACATAGATGTAGTTCTAATAAGTAAAACTTACTAGAGCTTTTAAAATTAACTTTCAATATCAGGAAAGTAAAATTATTAGATACTATAGAGATTTCTACATAGCAGAAAAATTGACATTTGAAGTTTACTGTAAAATATGCCACAACTAAAATAAAACTAAACAAGTTGTTTTTCTAAGAACAAACATGAACAAAATTAGAATGTAACACCTTGCTACATTAAAAATTAGTACAGGATAGTGCAAAGTCAGCCAGTAGAGGTATGGATACAGAGTTCCTGGTTCTCATCTATTTATTGCTTTAAAGGTTTTATGAATATTTATTTATGTGTGTGTGCACGTGTGTATGTGTGTGTGAACATTTGTGCATGCATGTGTGCACCTATGTGTCCACCCATGATGAAGTGTGTATATGGCAGTTAGAGGAAAACTTCCAGGACTCATTTCTTCCTTTCTTCCATGTCATCCTCAGAAGCCAACTTACATCCTCTGTTTTGGTGTCCAGTAATGCTTCCTGTTGACTGATAGGATTAGCCCTCATTTATTTCTTTTAAAATGTTGTTTTGTGTAATTATTTGAAGTCATGCTTGGATTTCTCATTGTAATAAACATAATAAAATAATACTTCAAAAGGCGGTTTTCTTCTTGTACAATGACAGTTATAAGGTATTCAGAACATTGGTAAATATAAAGCACAACCAACATATTGTAGAGGTATAAAATAATTTACAAAATTAATTTAATAAAATATCTAAGACAGTAATACTTATGAGCAAAACAACAATGATGGTATCTCTATTTTCATTTAACAAAACATTTAAGGCAAATGCTGAATTACTTAAAAAATATGTGTTACTGTCTAATTTCTGAAACAAGATACAATAAAAAATTAACATATATGCCAATGATCTAAATTATGACAACACAAATTCTATAATTTTCTTAGCTTGGTTCATTGTGGCTTAGTGGGTATCAACTGGAGTTTCTGAGCTATTTCTTAGAATATATCTGTATTCCCCACCATGACACTTAAAATAATTTAATATATTCATTTTAAGAAAAAGCTCACTAACACAAAACTATATGGTTGTTTTAACCTTTAGTAGCATTTGTGGTGCATAAGGACATCTATGTGCAGTTGACATTCTAATTTTCATGCTGCGGCTTAAAGGGACACGGTGTCACCAACTAACTAATTCAGACCTGAAATTTGCTTTGTGGAAACACTCCATAATTAAAAAATTCTACCATTCATATGTTTCGGGTTTGAGTCTACTGAATGTTGTACAATAAGCACAGATTTCTGATAGCACACAAACTGAGTTTCTACATCTAACTTCATCTGTTACCCTGGGAAGCCACATATCAATAGTTGTCGTTTTCAGCACTTCATGGTCTATTTCAGCAGTCACTGGAGAATAGCATGCATGGAGTTGAGGAACTAGTTCATACCTACACAAGGCCCTGAGCAGGGCAAACACCTTTAGGGTAAGTGTCTTCTTCTTTGCTCATTGTGGGCATATCTTGGCTAGTTGAGGATGAGTGATAAAATATGAAAGAAGATATTAGAGCAAGTCATTTCCACTGAGTGTCTCATCTACATTGCGGGTAACATATATATTTTGAAGGCAATGAGATCCAAACATTGGTTCAAAAACTGTATTTACACTTTGGAAGTCATAAGTAGAGAAAGGTCATTCAAGGGAAAATTGAGAAAAGGAATAAATTGTTATATTTAGATGTAGAGTTTAATTTTGTAAAAATAAAGAAATATAACTCCCTTTTATTTCCCAGAGAATGAGTGTTTGTAGACAATTAAGAGAAAAAGCTCCTTTGCACAGCAACTCACATTAACATAAAAATTTCAAAATCAATTGTCTAAGGGAAAGTGCCTTTCCTTGATGGGATTGATGATAATTAGATCTCTCCTTTATAAGTCCATGGACCTTCAGTAGGGTACTACTTCAAACATGGTTCTAGCACAACTTGGCACACAAAATGAAACTTGTCAATCACCCATAGCAACTCACCTTCTAGCAGACACACTCACTCAAAGTCTTGCATATACATACATTAATATTAAAACCACACAGGGCTACAAAGCAAAAATTCATCCTAAAATTACATTTTCTACAACAAAAGCAGGTTGAGATGTACACATATATCTGTATATGTCCAATGTCTCTTACAGAAATGGATTTTCTTCTTGGAGTTGCTGATTAACATATGCTATGATGGCCAACATTTTAAGAGGCATGTCTTTAAGCAGATTTGTTTGATTGTGTGCAATATTTCTAAGGCATTGGAAGTAGTTGTTCCATATGACAAGCTTTACCCTTGCTGTGGTACACTCTTGATATAATTAACAAGTCTTTAGTCTTCTTTGCCGGCCACATACAGGGAGGCATTCATAGTATACAGGCATTTGGCTCAAAGGTCAGAAAATTGTTGTTGCTGTTTTTGATGTTTATGGAATAGCACCATAGGAAATATTTCAGAAACAAATCATTTGCCAACCAATATTGTATTTTTTAAAACTGAATCTCAAGAAGATAACAAAAAAGGAGATTTCATCTCTCCCAAACTCTACTTCCACTTCATGTCATCATCTTTAAATACAGTAACAATAACAATAACAATAACCATAACAATAATACATCAACACATTAATAATAAAAGAAATATCATAGCAGCAGTAGTAGTAACTGGAGTAAGAACCATCCAGGAAGTCATTTGGAAGACGACTGCACACACCTCATGGGAGTTTTTTCATAAAGGTTCGTAAGACATGATGGGTTTCTTGGATTTGGTGTGATTGTTCAGCACTTCCCCAAAGAGAAATGAATTTTCTAGTCAACTTGGTATTACCCAGTAATTAAATATGATATCAAGGGATTAACTGCATTACAGACACTACAGATATTTCAGACTTCTTAAGATATAGATTCAATGAAGTGGTCACAAAATCATTTATGTGAAGAGGTTAAGTTGGCCTGTATTTGACAATAATGAAGATGAAATATTCCAGTTTCCAAACATAAACACACTATGTGGGATTAGTTCCTGGCCACACACACACACACACACACACACACACACACACACACCTACATTTAAAAGACAAACCACCTTCCAAAGACCACTCACTATTCCACATCACCATACATGGATTTGGTTTACACTGGGTCGGACCTACACAGTCTAAGCAAACATGCGAAGACGCAAGAAGTAGGTTTCCAAGTTATGATCTGTCTCATCATTTTATGTCCCCAGATCTTGAAAAAAGTAGTCAAGGAATCACTCCAGAGAATCATAACCCTGAAGCAAGATGTCCAAAGTGTGAGGAATATATTTTAAGCTGTTGATATTCCTTGAAGCATCTGATAGACTTCCACCAGCTTTATTAATCATCAAGCAGGACTTTCAAGTGTCCCTGCAATGCCAATCAGGTTTTCTGAAAAGTTCACTTTTATTCCAGAGATAACTCTAGTCTTGTAGTTCTCTTTCGTCCAAACTCATTGTATAAAACATTTGTACTAATATTGCCAATTTTAAAAATTTCTTCTTTCCATCTGCACATTGCTTTCTGTTCTGAGGGAGGGCCTGCACTAGTTCTCAGCATGCATAGTTTCTGGGTACCTTATGCTTTTATATCTTATATAAAATCCTTTCTTGTTGATAGTATCATCAGTGTGAAAATGAATTAGAACTGCATCTCCAATTGAATAGATTTCTTCTGGTGGCTGCAAGAAAAAGCAAAGGAAACAGAAACAAAATGAGCAGTAGACTAAGCCACGTTTTCATCAATATCATGTGCATGGCATAATAATTCAATCCACTCAATAACCTAGGAAGATGTCATGTTGGATTTCTTATCACAAAGATGAGAAAATATGAGATTCAGGAAGAAATGCAATACTGAAGATTTCATAAAAGATATTTAATCCACTTCTAATTCCAGAATTTTTAGTAAAACTTGGTCTTCTTTTTTCTTTCAAAACCATAATTCATGATTTTTTTATTTATATGTAAAGAAAGGAAATTACAAAACAGTAAAGAGATACCCATTTCTTCAGTGGTTATTCTGAATTGAGCCATTGTAGAATCTGTGTCATCCATGTCTCCCTCTTTTAATAATTGAAAAATTCCAAAAAGCTCTTTTGTTTCAAGAGTTATTTACATAGACATTTGCTATTATTATTATTTAACTCAAAGGTAAATGTCAACACTCAGAAAGTGGGGGCTATTGTCATCTCACACAAAACACGCATTCAGAATAGTTTCAATTTCATACAGAGAGACTTGGGGGAAATAAAAATACCAGAAGCATTTCTTATTCTAGTTTATCATGTGGTCTTGCCAATACCTGTCTCTGAATGCCATCTAGGCATGTAGATGGCCTACTACATGGGGCAGTGTTAGTAGCATTCAGAATGGTTGGGCGCAGGTGAGTAGCTGGCCCTGGTTCTCTCACCAGAGGGATCCTTAAGAGGAGAATGCAAACTGTGACTTTGGATTTACTTTTCTCTTATGCTTTGATTTAGGAAGGAACAACTTTGGCAAGGCTGTGTATTTGGTTATATTCTTCTCAGATTAGTAAGCACTTGAATATTTACTATGCAATGAAAAGTTAGAATATGGAAAGTGGCAAGAAACTAGAATTATGAATTGTAATTCAACTTACTATAAGTGGAGAAATAGATATGAGTTATGTTTATTTTTGTCAAGCCATTGATAACAATGTAGCATGAAAATTTTTTCAAGAATGCTTGTAATTCATAAATATTATAACCACAAACCATCAACTAAAAGGAATTCTCATTAATTGACTATGGAATCCTGCTGCTGATGTACTTACCCCAGATCCACAGAATCTCCCAAGACCCACAGCTTTTGAATTGAGACCATCAAAGATTTCAACATAATCATAGCCACAGTCAGCTTCTTCTTCTACTTCAAACATCTGGAAGGACAACTCAAGTCTCATGCCTCGTTCTGACACTAACAACCATTCACAGTCAACTTGTCCTGGGTAGTTATTATCCCCAAACTGAGCATGGGAATACAGGTCTCTGGGTTTGGGCTCTGCCTTCAATCGACCACCACACTCTGTCCAAGAAAAGAAAAGGAAAAGGAATAAGCTTGGTGAGCTTCCATAGTCCAGCATCCATTTCAGTGGGGTCTAACCCAACCTCTGACTCGTGTTTCCACATCCAGTATCTAGGATGTGATTGTGACTGAAGAGTCAGGAAGTGTCATGTGTGCAGGCAGGGATGCCACATACAGTCTGTTTGCCTTAAGTGAACTCTGCTTAAACATCTAACTAGCTAGGAGACTATGGGCAAACAAGGTCATATCTCTGATCCTTATTTTCCCAAAAGCAAAATACATATGATAATGGCAATAATTTTGTGAGATTTCAAAATATAATATAGAAAAGTCACCTGGAACTTACTCAATGGAATTATGGAAGATACACCTAATACTGTTCTTATTTTCAAATCATTCAATTTTTCATGGAGAAAGCTTAGAACTTAGTAACCAAAGGAATAAAAATAACTTGAAATAATAGCAAAACACATATAAAATTCATGAGTGTGTTTTCTCTATAGCACTGAATGCTATATAATATTATTGTATATTTACCATAGTATTTGAGTAGGAATATTATCTCACTTGATCAGCAAAAGAAAGCACAATTCATCACAAATGTTGTCCAGTTATAAGCAGTATAGTTGCTGTAATAAATTTTAGCTTCATGCTTGAGAGAAATATAAACCAGGTCTTCTGTGTATTACCATTTTCACCCATAGAAAATACATCAAGGAAATAGAGCTGTGAGAACAAAATCTCTTAGCTTGTCTAATTTAAATAAAGGGGTGTTCCCAAAACTGTTTAGTAGTTCATTGCTGCCAGAGCCCCCAATTTATTATAAGGAATGTTAAACAGAAGTATCAGGAGGCTAAAACGGCCTGACAACAAATTTATCTGTAAGCATAGTGATAGAGAAGGGGGGTGCAGGCGTTGGTGGCGCACGCCTTTAATCCCAGCACTCAAGAGGCAGAGGCAGGCAGATATCTGTGAGTTCGAGGCCAGCCTGGTCTCCAGATCAAGTGCCAGGACAGGCTACACAGAGAAACCTACACAGAGAAACCGTCTCTAAGAGAGAGAGAGAGAGAGAGAGAGAGAGAGAGAGAGAGAGAGGTGTGAAAAGTTTGAGGGAATGATGTAACTTGTTTGCCAACATCTGAGAGGTTCTTCAGCACCTGTGACCACCCTCAGAACTAAGAATTTCAAAGCTAAGGCTGGGAAAATATGAAGAAAACACAGTTTTCTAAGACACTGGTTATGAAGTCACACTGGTCATGAGACAACCCAGAGTGAAGATAGACTGGGAATCAGGAATGCTTAAAATTGAGTTTTCCAGACTTGTGTTGATTAAACTACACTGTGCTTCAGTACTTTCATTTTTTTATTCTCTTTATTTGTATGTGTGTGAAGATGTATGCATGCACAGAGCATGGAAGTCAGAGGCAGACACCAGGTGTCTTTCTTGAGCATTCTCTACCTCATTTTCTTCACACAGGTTCTCTCACTGAACCTGGATTTCATAATGACTCCATAGTTAGGAAAAATTGGATCACTGGTGGCAGGAGACATGGAGGGGGCTTGTTTGGAACCTCTCTGTCACCCTCACTTTGGAAGGAGAGTTAAGGTAGGAGTGAAATATTAGAACAAAATGTGGAAAGGCACTTAAAGGCTTAGGAATTCAATCAAAGCAACGTTGTTAATACCTGTCTGTATTGAAAGTCACACGACTAGGTTTGAGAACAGGCTAGAATACTACAAAAAGGATTCATTTCTTTCTCACCAGGTTTAGTCATTCCTAAATATCCACAAATCTCAGTTTCTACTAATAAATATAATCTTCTCATTGTTAAAACCATAGAGGAAATTTTGTCCACTGGGTAATAGTTTTAAAATAAATATTGCATACTATGCATACCAGTGCTGTGAAATTTATATGCACTGAGAGAAACCCCACATCATAAAATAATATATATCATTAAGGAAATTCACTGCTTTTTTAGTTCTCCTGATTATTCAAACTGAAGCCAACATAGTATTTCACAATTTTGGGGAAGAGACAATTTGTATAGGCAAAATATTATCACTAAACAAATTATCAACAATTTAAAAATATGTATCAAGCCAAAATACATAAAACCAGTCTTAAGCATGCCAGCATATTTAACAGTGCTTGTAGGGGCCCAACACCTTATCTGTACTTCTCAGAAACTGAAAATGGAGCTGAGTAAGAGTTAGGAAGAGATATTATGGGGTAGATTTCATTTAAATTTGGAAGGACATATTTTTTTCCTGGTAAGCATTAAATTCTAGAAGACATCCTGAAGTTTGGCCTAAAATGCTTTTATTGGTATATTCTAATTCAGTTGATGTAAATAACTTTCTCTGGAAAGGGGATGATGATGACATATTACATGAATTTCAAAAGTCACCACCAAAGTATAAAATACTTGATACTAGTAAAGATCATACAAAAAGACAAAACCATGATTTAAACCCATTCTTTCCATTTTTGGAGACACGCCATCTGATAGAAGAAACTTTTTTCTGCAATTTTGTTTCTTTCAATTACCTGATAAAACAAATCAAACTTGAACCAGGTGTCAGAGGAAAATAGAGTTACCTTCCCAGCAAAGTTCACATCTAAATGGATAGCATCACTTTGAAAAAAAACTAAATATTACAGAAACATTGTTATTGGCTTTTTTACAAACTATTTTGGAAACAAAGTTAGCATAGTGTATAAAAACTAAATTTACTTAGTCAAATTAAACTGGTTAGTTGAGACCACAAACCTGCTGCATTTGTTTTAGAAAGAGATAAGCAATACAAAAATGCTTTTACAATATGTGATGAACTTAGCAGAATTACCTGGCTTGGGCTTCAGTTTAACCAATAATGTGAGCTGTTAACAGAGGTGATTTCCATTGCCCTTTTCCCATAAGTTCCCAGGTTTCCCCTAAAGAATACTAACACATCACATTGTCAGGAGCAAATACCAAACCAAAACATTGATGGAAAGTTTTGGAACAATTCAACTTAATGGAATTGATGCTGCACAAGGAGACACACGGGGGAACACAAACCAGAAGGTGCTTTTTTTACAGAAACACAGAAGAAATACAGCCAGAGAGTTCATGATCTCTCATTACTTGAAAGTCTCAGTTTTTAAATAACAGGAAAAGCAAACATGCACACGATAGCAGACATATCAATCAGAGTAAATGAGCAGAAGTGGGGAAGCAAGGGTTCTAATGGCAGCTGTCACTAACTTCTGTGCATTCCACTTTTAGCTCCATATTTCTCATGTTTGAAGTGACAAGGCCAAATTAATAATGTGCAAAACCCATTTTCTCTCTAACATTTTGAATGAGGTTAGTCACTAGGATATTTGAATCATCAGATGTGAACTGAAAAGAGGAAATAACACAGACCTGCCATGACATTTAAGTAATTTAAACACAGTATTCAGTCTACCTATTGCTTCAAGTAGTAATGACAGTTTTCATTCATTTCTGTCCTAACTGTAGACTTTTGAAATAACAGAAATGTTCTATAAAGGAATATCTTAGCTTTGGAGATGGTCAAAATGGGAGTGAATCCATGATTAGACAATGTAAGTTTTGTAAGTTAATTAACCATCCGCAAAACCATTTTTCTGCATGATGGAGATAATATTGCTGATCTCAGATAGTTTGAGAGATCTGATAAAAATTTCATATATGATATTCCATATGTAAATAGAATATATGAATATGATATTCCATATTGTAAATAGAGTACAATAATAAAAGTCATAAACTATACTAGGAGTGTGTGTGTGTGTGTGTGTGTGTGTGTGTGTGTGCTTAAAAGTCACGAACTTTATCATCAGGAAAATTCTAAAGAGGTAATGAGATAGCAATTTTTCCATACCTTGAGTATTCAGCAAGTTCATAGGAATATAGCTAAATAGTAAATGTATAGGAAATATCTATAGTTTGATTTTTCCAAAACCATAATATTTATAACTGTGAGGAAAAATTGAATAATATTATTGTTAACAGTCAAATTGCTAATAGTACAGATCATATCACTGTTTTAACAATTCCCAGTTTTTCACAGACTAAAGTATAGATCAATTATGCAGTAAACACAGAATAAAAATTATTGCCCAATGAAGTAGTTAACACACATAGATTACTAAAATAAAATTAAATAAAACCAAATCAATTACCAAGAAAGCATGACAATACTGATTTACAATTTTTTTCAGGAATATACCCTTAGTATATAGTCTCAATCCTTCGGTCCTCAGAACAGCCACAAGGTGTCAGCATAAGCTCAGCAATTTACAAATAGCTATGCTTAGTTTTTTTTCGTAAACTCTAAAAGGAGAAAAGCAATAATCCTTAGATGGTTTTATAGAGCATATATCTAAATTGGCTCCATGGTATAAATAATTTAATCTTATTATTTTAACTTTACATATTTATACTTTTCTAAAATAAACTTTTCCCTAAACAGCTAAATTTTAGAATTAGGGAAAAGAATGATAGGGCATACCAAAATACAAGTTATAGGGAAGTGACAATCTGTTGAACAAAGAATAAATCCTAAATTCCCCAACAAAACATCCACTAAGGCAAAAGCTAGCAAAACAAACAAACAAAACAAAACAACAACAAAAAAGTCAGCTTAGTAGATGAAATAAAGTTTTTTAATATCAAGATTTAGCCTGTTAAAGGTGACCCATCAGTGACTCTGCTAAAATCAGTTACAAAAACAATTATACAACCATTTAGAGAGAGTTTCTACTTTCTTATTTTACACTGATGACAAATCAAATTGAAGTTTATGGTAGTTTTATTGTTGCTTGTTGTTTTCTATTTCTTCCATGAATGGTCAGCTACAGCAAAGGCATCAAGGTAGACCCTGAGTAGTTTACAAACATTCCATAGAACACATTTCAATGAGATCTTGCCAACTGTGATGTTTACTTTTAATTGGCAATCTGATACAAAGTTGAATCACCTGGAAGGGAATCTCAGCTCAGCAAGGGATTGTGGAGATCATGTTGACCCCTCAGTCTGTCTGAGGGAGATTTCTTGATTGCATTAATAAGGGATCCTGGGCTGACTAACTGCAGAGAGCAGGCTGTGCATGAATAAGTATGTGTGCATTTATTCTCTCTTTTCTTGAGTGGGAATGTAACTACTGCTTCCAGCTCTTGCCTTGACTTCTCAGTAAAGATGGACTGCCACCTTTAATTGTGAGCCCAAGTTCTTTCTCCCCAGAGTGGCTTTTTTTTTTTTTCAAAGCATTTCATCATAGCAACAGAAATGAAGCTAGGACACCACGTATACTTATCACATCAAGTAACTCTATTCACCAACCACATCTACACACCCAACGCAAAACAGTAATAAAACAGAGAAAAGTATAGTGGTGTGCATGAGTGTGTACTGAAAACCATTATCTTATATTCAGATTTAAAAATTAATTTTTATCCAGTATTTATTCCTAGTGCATGAATGGACTTTGGGAGCCCATTCCTCCATGGAGGGAAACTTTCTCAGCCTAAATACACGGGAGAGGGCCTACACCCTGCCCCAAGTGATGTGACAGACTGTGATGATCTCTCATGGAAGGCCTCAAACTTCCTGGGGAGTTGAAACTGGGATTGATAAGTAAAATAAGATTGTTTCTAATTTAAATAAAAATAAGAATCACCTGTGAAAGAAATAAAACACTGCCTTCTTTTAAAATAAAAATTCTAACTAATTTTTATTTTTAATAAAAAATGGTGGTGTGATTCTTCTATTAAAAATTAATTTAATAAAAGTGTTCTCTTAGAAGAGAAGCATAAAGATAAACTGCTCACCTGTGGAGTGGGTGGCTTGAAAGCCTCTTCTTTGAACAGAGGCATCAGAAATAAACCGAATAAACATTAGATTCCCAGTAGCCAGGAGCGGGTCTGGTATCTTGCTGCCACATAGTCGGCCAAGGATTGGTGACTTCTCTGTGGCTCCATCAAAAACTTCCAAGTGATCGTAGGCACATTCTTGATGCTGTTCAACCTCAAACTCACTGAAGGCCTATTTAAGAAGAAGAAAACATTTTACTAGCAACAAGTCATTCAGAAACTTCTCTAAAGGACAAATTAAATATAAATATACAAAATAAATATGCCCATGACAAACACAGGGATTAATCCAGAGACCACAGAATTGAAAAGGGAGGTCACATGGTGTTGGCCTACTATAAAAGCATAAAGATAAACACAAGATGTCCCTGTATCTGTTTTGCTCTCCAAAGATCAGATAACCTACAAATTAGTGGTGTGGTTCTTCTATTAAAAAATTATATACACCACAGGTTTTACCCCAGGGACAAAAAACTGATTCTGTGATGGAGATACTGGAAGAAGTTATTCATTGGATACCTTTAGTTCATTAGAGATATGTCAATTCCTTCAGCCCCTCTTCTCCCATAATCTTCCTGACCACCACATACCCTTGAACCTTGAACTCATACCATGAACTTCCCTGTCACAAGCCAAATAATAAAGCCTGTCAGACATGGACTCACACCTCAGTAACTATGAACCAAAATAACCCTTTCTCTTTATAAGTTCATTACTCAGTATTCTGCTAAGGTATGGATAGCTTACTAACAGCAACATATTCAACTATTGTAACTGTTTCTAATTTTGTGAACTTACAAAATAAACTTGCAAGTAAATAAAAATATCACACTCCAAAAATAGCCAGACTAGGCATTCAGAATAAAAGCTGTGGAGCCTCACATTAAATCTTATTTTTTCAGTATTGACACTGTTTAATACACTTACCCACCATCAAAAACAAAAACTCTATGGCAGAATTAGAACTTGAAAAGCCATTAGCTTTACATCCTCTTTCATAATTCATGACCATTGCCTGCATTTTGTGCTTCTGTATCCTTTTATGTTTTTTGTTTTTCCCCTCTCTTCATTTTATATTTTACCCACATATATTATAAATTATATATGTAGATAGATAGATATAGATATGTGTGTGTGTTGTGTGTATGTGTGTGTGTGTTTGTGTGTGTGTGTGTGTGTGTGTGTGTGTGTGTGTGTGTGTGTGTGTGTGTATGTGTGTGTGTGTGTATGTGCTATTGACTAGATTCTACACAGGAGAAAGGATGTGTTTTTTTTTTTCTTTCTGAGATTCTGTGACATATCTTACACTAAACTTACATATCCTACACTAAACTAGATTACATTTTCTTTCTTTGGAAGAGAAAACATGAAAGAAGCAATTATACTAAGTAGGAAGTAGAAAAAATGAATGAATATCCTAATAAGATCAATAAGAGAAGAGAAGGGGGTAATTTTTCTATGTTATCCCATTGCACCCTGTTGAAAGATTAATAAAATTATGGATGAGACATTACTTGCTATGACCACTATGAGTCAAGAGCAATGTTCACTGCAACCAAAAGCAGGAGAAAATACAAAAAACAAAAAACAAAAAACAAAAAAAAACTACTATAACACACTGATCTCACTGGAAATCAGTACCGTGTAGGAAAACATAGTGAATGAAGAGTTAGTAGCAGAAATTATTTGTTCTGGAGTGCAGCAAGCAAAGCAGTCAGTCACTGAGACGGAACATGCTATGAATTGAACTTAGCAATCTCTATTTCCAGGACTCGAGTACAATAAAGTAGACATAGTATATGGAATGCAGAACAGCCTCAGTTGGTATCTAGATGCCTGATTACATCTGTCAATTCGTTCATCTAACCATCATCTCATGTTTATAGACAATCTCACCCTGAAAAATTTTGTTGATGCAGCCAATCATACTTTCTGATTTCATGCCTCTCATGAGACATTATTCAATCAGCATGTTACAACTGGGCACACAGCTACATTTTTAGTATTGGCATGGAACTGGGAAGAAACCACTAAGGGAGAAATTGGCTCAACTATGTCCAGATTCTTTATTAAGTGGGAAACTAAGCATCGGGATTACAAGAACAATGTTACTGTAAGAGAAAAAAATATTTAGGGAAATCAGTGTGTGAAAACCATTCCATTTATCATTACTTACTTTTATGTCAACTTGACATAAACTAAAGTGATTTTGGAAGAAGGACTCTCATTTTAGAAACTGCCTGTATGTGACTTGACTGTAGGACATTTTCTTGATTTCTGATTTCTTAATGGCCAAGAACTCAGAAATCAGCTTGTTTAATGGTAAATCTTTCTGCCAAGCCACCCCCGCTCCACCAACATAAATTTCTCCACACAGAAATTTATATTAGGTACAATGCTGCTGGCCAATGAATAGGATTTCTTACTTGCTAGCTCAGTCTTATCAACCATAACTACTAATCTATATATTTTATAAGGACTTATCGGATGCCATTGGCAGGCATCTTCTCTTGCTGGGATCACATGGCAGCTCCATAGAAAAGAGAGAGGAGGAAGAGAGCAATTTCCTGCTTGTCCCTGTTTATATTCTGAATCTGACTGCTATGTCACTTCCTGCCTGGATCACAAGACTTCTCTTTACTACATTTCCCAGAATCCTCCTTGACTCCTAGTCTTGCCTAATTTGCTTCCCTATTGGCCAACAGTACTTTATTTATCAACCAATAAGACAAACATATACACAGAAGGACCTCCCCCATCACACTTGCCTCTGCTTCCCAAGTGCTTGGATTAATGGTGTGCTCTACCATCACCCAGATCAACTTACTTTTTATGATATTTTAAATAACACATAATAAAGAAATTGACTTCTTTGATATATGATACTTAAAAATACTGAATATGTGCATGGAAATAGAAACTAATCCTGAATCTTATTCCAGACACACACACACACACACACACACACACACACAATGGATCAAAATCAATATGGATTAAATGGATTAAACTGGAACAAAGATTATCCTTGAACAATATATAGGAGAAAAAAATGTCCATGGTAAGTGACATTTTCTCTGGAACTAAGCCAGGTTTTGGCAGTTTATAGAAAGGACTTTTTTTAAAGTTCACATATCTGGGAGTGACTGAATTTGTAACTTGAGTGCTAATAACAAGAGCACACATAAAGGCCAGATGCAGTGATACACACATTATCCTCATGGGGATATGGGAGGCAGAAGCAGCACAGTTTCCTGCACCTTGCTTGCCAGGTAGCTCAGCACACATGGCAGCTATGAGACTCTGTCTCAAAGAAGGCTAAAAGACAAGGACAGATACCCATAGGTGGTGCTCTAATCTTTACATATGGCCTGTGTGGCACATTCCTAAATCCACCTCCAAACATGAACAAGCACATACACACAACAACACACACACACACACACACACACACACACACACACACACACAATATCTGCAACAACAAAAATGTGTGAGGACACATCAAAAAGGTAGGCATTTGAAAGACAAGTCAACAAGACATCCACTAGTAGGGTGCCAATTTGACCTTGGACTTTAAGTCTTCATAACTGTGAAGAAATTACATTAGTTTGCAATATCTAAGTTATCGGATCTATATTTTGTTATGGCAACCCAACAGAGTAACAGAGACATAAACCATAGTTCTTAGTTAAATATAAGTACTACAAAAAGTAGGAAAGCAAAAACAGTGCTTAACAATGTTTTTCAATAGATCCAAGAGAAATGAAGAAATCAGCATCATAAGTGAAGCTAGTTCAATAGAAATCATTCACACTATACTCATAGATCAGTGTCTTGCTCAGCCACTATCAGAGATGGGCCCTCTTGCAGTAGATGGAAAAAATACAGAGATGCACAGCTAGAGAATGTGAAGAGGGTGAGAGAACTTGAAGATCCCTCAGTACCCAATGAGATGTCTCTATCAAATCCCTCCTCTCAGGGCTCAGAGAATACTGAAGAAGAGGATGCTCTTGCAGTAGATGGAAAAAAAATACAGAGGTACACAGATAGAGAATGTGCAGACAGTGAGAGAACTTGAAAAACCCTCAGTACTCAATGAGATGTCTCTATAAATCCCTCCTCTAAGGGAACAGAGAATACTGAAGAAGAGGAAGCACAATGATTGTAAAAGCTAGAGGGCATGGAGGGCACCAGGGAAAGGAGGCCTTCTAAACAGGACCAATGTACCTGTGAACATACAGAGACTACAGCATGGGTCCTAACCCAGGAGCTATCTCCAACTAACAACTGCTTATAGAGGAAAACTTTATTTTCTCCCATGGACTCTCACTGGATATACAAACCACTCTTAAGGGAAGGCTCTGTGCCCAGCCCAGACTGTCAACACCAAAAAGAATGAGTGGCATTTTGGAGGTTCTTTGTCTCATAATATTTGTCAAGGCATTTTTTAACTTTATAGCTCTTGTGCATAGACACTATCATTTCTGGTTCTGTATTTTTATGGGATTTCCATGTGTGGTAACATGTGAGACTCTTCTCCTATATGTGTTTGTAATTTTTTCCTTTGGTTCCTATTATTCTGTTTGTTTTGTCCTATTCTGGTTTGTTTGTTTTGGGTTTATCTTATTTTATTATTATTTTTAGACATCCATTTGTTTTCAAATGAGAAAGAATGAATAGATTTGGATTAGAAGGGAAGTGGGGAAGATCTCAGAGAAGTTGGGGAAGGGAAAACCATAATCAGAATATATTGTGTAAAATATATATTTCCAAGAAAAGAAAAACTATCATTCAACCCAAAATGCAAAAGGAATCAAATGTCAAAAATTCAGAGCATAAAGTGTTGTGGGATAATATAAGTTGTGTCATTTCAGTCCCACATAAAGAGACATGGTATTGCAGAAGAGTTAAGTGAATATGAGTGTTTGGATCAAATGCAGATGCCACAATACAGATGAAGGAAATTCAGAGAAATTTGTAGAATAGTAAGTATCACAATATAAGACTATTACACACATGCAAGCAAACCTAGGCATAGTGTTTTCAAATTTTTCATTTGAATGAGAAAAATAAGAAGGTATCCATAAGGAAAAAAAAGGAACTAAAAGTTGACCTAGAACTCTATGTCTTGCAAAGTGAAACTGCATGTAGTCTTTGCACAACATACAATAAGGCAGTTCAAAGAGAAAGGTTATCATATCAGAAATAAGAAACAAACATTTGATTTGATAAGTGAATGTGATAAGAAAAAAAAGCTATATTCCCAACACCACTAACTGAATGTCTTTCTATTAAGCCCATCTGTGCTCAAAGAAGCATTCTGTCAGTCAGCACCTTGGACAGGAGTAGGACATTGAGTGCATTAGAACATACAGTGCTGTGCCTTGTTCAACATCTAGCATCCTTCAATGGAGTGACTGAGGAGTGATCTTCTGGAAGATCATGGCAAGTGGAAAGAACTCCATGATAGGAATATGACTCTTTTGTCACAACCTTTGATTTCCTTACAGTGACACATTTCAATAAGGTCATTTTATAGATAAAATATAAAAATACTCACTGACTGGGAAGTATCTAAAGAGGAGAGTCTTACCATAAACATTTTGTCTGGATTGGTCCTGTGAACCATTTCAGATCAGTAGTCTCTTTTGCTCTTTAACGTAGCACCTCCTACATTATTTAGCCTTGTGAACTATCTCTATATGTACATGTGTAGGCAAATATTTACACTACCATATGTTTCTGTTCTTAGTTTCTGAGTGTTTAGAATATATAAAACTATGTTCTATTTTAAAAAATACTTAACATTTACTGTCATCAGGTGACCAAGCAAGACTCGAAGAAAATGGGCTAGAAGAGTAAATTACAGTCATTATTTGAATTAGTCACACAGAGCAATATTTGACACAATTATAAGGATAATATATAAGATCTAGGAATTCTTTCAAGAGCTAAAGATTGTGTAAATTAATATTCCACAAACTACAATGCAAAATTAATTTCATTTCTAAAATGTATGCTTTGCCCATGAATCAAACAGAATGTATACAGTCAGAAGAACACATTATACTATTTTAGTCTATTGATTTCCAGATGAATTTCTGGGGTATTTTTATTCCTGCATTGATTCTCCCATTTGTAAATATAATTACCAGTAACATTAGAATGCAAACCCTAAAGTTTATAGCAGTTTTAATAACACCTTTGGGAGAACATGACTTTCACCTTGACCTGGGAAGTTAAGCATTTATTTTATGTAAGTAGAAAGGAAAGCAGGAGAAATTGACTCAATTAGGATAAATAAAACATTCTTCCTCCTTCTCAGTTGGTTAGCCAGGAAAGACATGGACAATCGGCTGAATAAAAGGAAAGGGGTCACTTACTAATTTGATTCGGTGGCCAGGGATAGCACTGACCTCCCAGGTGCACTCTTTCCTGCTTGGGTACTTGTCTGGCCAGTTGGGACTGGTGATGAGACCACTTGGGCTGTGGATCTTCTGTTCACATTCAGCTGTGGCAATAACAATAGTGTCAGTTGATATGGGAATCCAGTGCCAGATTAGGACAGAAAACAAGCAGCCTATTTGCCCCCTGCTCTGCTGAAAGAATTCCCTGCATGCTAGCAACCATCATACCAATTGCTGTTACCATTTTTGTCTGCTTTGGAAAATCTGTTGCTGAACATAAGCACGCAGTGTTTGTAGTTTGAATCACTGGAATTATATGTTTGCCACAAACCGCACAAGTGCCTAGATGAAAATGAACTTCTATTTTTAACCATTGGATCAGAAATTTTAGGCTTCATTAAAGCAACATACTTGAAAATCAACCACATCAACACTGGGTCTTGGCAAAATATGTAGTTTGTCACCAAAAAGAAAAGCCAAAGGACTGTGTCATTTCAGAAAGATCACTTATAGATAATCAACATTATTAAGCCATTTTATGAGTCATTTATACTCTCTCTCTCTCTCTCTCTCTCTCTCTCTCTTTCTCCCTCTCTCTCTCTCTCCTATAGTTAAATATATACTTCAATGGCTACACTACCATTTTAGCTGGCAAAATTAATTAGTCCCATTGTCATTTGATAGAATGAAGCACTAAGGTGAAAAATAAGCAAATTGATGGAAAGCCAAAGGGAGCTTCTGAAGTAACTCCAATAAGTGTCCCAGTAAATTACCATGATATGGCGTTATATTTCTCACAACTTGTGTCACTTTAGATCAGATCACTTGATATTGGGGAGATTCTTTGATATTGGGGAGATTCTTTCTACATAGACAATACACCTGTGTCTCTGTAGGGCTGTCCTAGAGTCTATCCCCATACTGAATTAAGATAATTCCTGTTGCTGTCATGTGCTGTCATGACAGTTTCCTTCCTTCCATCCTCCTAGGTCACCTATGGTTTCACAGGGAGGTTTTGAATTTCAACAAATGAATACAGAAAGAAAGAGAGAGAGAGAGAGAGAGAGAGAGAGAGAGAGAGAGAGAGAGAGAGCAGGCATTATGTAGCAAGAAGGTAGCTTTAAAACATCAATGGTAGAGAACATAACTATCATGCATAAGGCCCACAACTACAAAAAAAATGAGGTTCATGACTGAATCCTCTCTTCTATTGCCCATTTTGAAGCATGGCATCTGCAGGATCTACAACTGCCTGTAGCAAACATGTATTCTCCCTGCTAAGCATTGCAAGGTACATATTGTACAGCACAAGCAGAGGGAAACTCAGTCCCTGTCTAGGCAATGTAAAGAGCCACAATGGGGAGTATCTGGAAATCATTCTGGCTAACAGGAAGTTTTCTATAAAATCGGTTCCAGAAAGCTACTGTCAGGAACCGATCTGAGCACAGATTCCACACATAATCTGTAAAAGCTGTTTTCCTTTCTTTGAGTTACTTTACATGTCTACAAAATCATTGGGCCTTTTGTCCCAGGCTTTGATTTAGTAGCATACCCCACAAAGTTATAAACATCCTGTGCATAAGGTGGAGAGCAAAACTCCTCATGTAATTGCTTGCATGTGATTCTGCACAATGTCTTTATCTTAAAGAAAAGAAGAAAACATCCCTGATATGTGATTCTGTCTGAAATGAAGGTCCATAAGAATATTAGATGTGATTCTCTAAGGTATACAAAAAAACCTACTCACAGGGCTGTGATTTCAGACAGATTTTTCCAACCTACACATACTAATGATGACAGTTATAAAAGTTGGCTTAATAATATTACTTTCAAGAGAAGCTGGCCTCTGAGCTAAGTAGGAAATTGCACACCAGAGCCCTTAAGAAGAAAGAAAAACTATATACTGCCTCTTGTTTTCACTTAACTCACAGTAGCCAAATTAAAACCATTTAACAAAATCTTAGAGACAAAGATTCTAGCACATTATTGTCATACTAGCATGTTATTCCCCCAAAACCCTTGCTTAAGACTCCAAACGGCACAGAAGCTACCATTTGAGTTTGTTACTTCTGATATTTAGAGGAGCATCACTCATTTAGCAAATGTGTGACATATTCAGGGAGGAATATCACACCAAATGTAAACTATTTGGGGAGAGTTCATATGCCAGCATCATCATCAAGTCTCTACAAAGACTTGGAACCATGTGGTGCAATTTTGTCTACCAGATAGCACTTTAGCAGCTTCTCTATTATATAAAGTGAAGTTCAATGTCATCTGTGTGTGAAGTGCAAAATTTGGGGATCATTAAATGAGGTGTCCAATAGCATCCTGTGAATCTCTAAACACCACATAGAATTCCCCAGGTGTACTTTTTAAAACTTTGGGTAATCAGCAGCAGTATCAACCACTGATATGATTGACAGCATGGAAGCCGGGCTTTACTCAACCCACGTGGGATCTCAGGTGTTGTCAAGAGGAGATTATTTCTTCCCATACCTTCCTTGCAATCATGTTTGTTCTCATGCAAAACAAATCCATTCCGGCACTGACACATGTAGCTTCCCATTGTGTTGACACACTCGTGCTGACAACCACCGTTGTCCTTCGAGCACTCATCCTTATCTATGAAGAAATAAAGCCCAGTTTAGGGAGAAGGTTTTAAATGAAAAGATACCAAAACAGATTCAGTTACTTGTAGTGAACTCTGACAACACATAAAATGAACTCCTCATTTCCTGGTTTCCAACATAATCACAAATGCAAATTGATGGTGTCTTAGTTTAATTTATTCCTTGTTTAGCTTGAAGAAGACTTGGGCTATGGACTGTGTTTCTGAAAGTACTGGTACAGGGCATGCACTGAGATTCTGAGCACACTGGTTTAGGACATGGACTGAGGTTCTGAGCACACTGATACAGGGAAAAGCCTGAGTGTTGAGAGTATTGGTACTGGGGCAGTTATCAGTCTTCTAGGCTGGAGTTGAAATTTCTGGTAAGAGAAAGATGGTCTTTAGCATCCATTACTAGTTTATTTTTTAAAAGAAATAAGTTTGAAATTGTGAGCACTCTGAATAAAGGCAAGAGATACAGGAAGGCAATATTACAACCACATGAGAAGCTAAATAAGTTTCCAAGATAGGTATTGAGTCACTCTTAAAAATTGCTCAGTATAGCTATGGTGGTTTTTTGTTTTGTCTTCATGAATATACTTATAATTAATTCCTTTGGGTATTCCTTAACAGTCAAAGACAGAAAAAGGCATCCTTAGTCCATTTTAAACAGTGTTTAAATTTATGTAGTATCTCGCCTTGCCAGTGTTGGTGACCATACTCCTTTGGGTGTGGCTTCAGGGGCAGACATGACCAGGAGGAAGAGAAGCTGGGCAGGTTTATCTTGGGACTAGTGAACTCATTACGACCCTGCCTTCAAATTTATGTATTTGAAACAGAGTGGTCTGGTAGATTGATTTATTAATAAGTCATCCAATAATGGGATTATTTATATGTGAGAAGAAAAAAAGTTTAGAGTAGAAATGAATAGAAACGTTTAGAAATGACCACCACATCCACTACAGGGAATGAAGCCAAACTGGATTAGCAGGCAGTCAAGGCAGTGAGAGCAGCACCCATCACAGGATGTGACTGAACTGTCATTCCAAGCCCAGCTTATCCATTAAAGTCAAACTGGAAGGTGGCTCCTGACACAAATATAATAACATATCACTGATATGCTCCTTCCACACATGAGAATAAGAAAGGCATGAAGCACTGCAGTCTCAGGTCAGGCTGAATCCAAAGTCTACACTCCAGCAAGAGCCAGTGAGCTTATGGTGGTATATACAAGATTCTAGTTTTTCTGATTTCAATCTGATAAGCAATTTTCACTGAAGAAGTGGCTGGGGGAAAATGTCTTCATTAATAATCTGAGAGCAATTTTAAAATACTCCATTTAATATTCATATATGAATGTACTATTTGCATTAGATCTACCCCATTTCCCTCCCCTCTTGTTTCTCCTATATCCCAACACAGCTTTTCATTCCCAACTTCCTTTGTTTTCTCTCTCTCTTTTTAAATGTCCTCTGAATCCACTTAATACCACCAGTAAGTGCATATATCCACTGGAGTATGGGCAGTCCACTAGGGGCCACAACCTTGAGAAAAGCTGACTTTCTTTCTTGAGCAGTCATCAGATGCCAAATGCTCCCTCAAGAAGTGGTGCTTTACGACCACCACCCTCCTGTATGCTGGGACTTTGTCTGGCTTGAGTTTATACAAGTATTTTGCATGCTGTCACAGAGGCTTCCAGCTCAGATGGACAACTGCCCTGTTGTGAGCAGAAAACTGTTTTGCTAGAGTTCTACACTGCCTCTAACTCTGACATGTCCACTCCTTCTTCCTGGATGATCTCTGAACATTGGAGTAGTGATACAATATAGACGTCTCATAGAGATCAGGAAAGGAGTAAGGTCCACAGAGATGTGACTATTCAAGTAAGGGCACTTAGAATGAAGGTTGCATATAGAGGAGGGGTGGGGACTAATGGAGCAAGAAAGTTTAAGCGGGGTGTGCAATGGGAAGGCAGAGGAGAGAAGTGAGTATGAGAAGATATAACTAACACTAAAGACCATTGTAAAAGACACAGAAAAGTTACTACCATAGACACTTTCTAAAATATGTACACACACACACACACACACACACACACACACACACACACAGTTCAAATGGAATTACCCTATAATGGGAAACAATGGGTTTTCTAAACATGCATAGATTTATCAGAGAAAATCCATTAACTTACATTTTTTTCTAACTAATTTCTTATAATTACCTAGAATTGATACATGAAAATGTATCAATTTCTCTAATTTAGCAGTGGTGGAAATCATGGTTGTTAATTTCTCTGTTAAGTTCTCTTTCTAAAATATACCTTTTGTTCTTCACCTTCAATATAAAATACACAGTTAAAAGCTATGAGTGAAAAGAACTAGAATAGCTGTGATTATTTTATTAGGTGTATCAGAAATGATGCTGTGCATACACTATTTCAGTGCATATATTAAAATTTGAATACATTTGTTAGTCTTTGTTCCTGATGGATCACTTCTTGCAAGAGAACTAAACCACTGTATGTCTGTGGTTTTAATAACTATTTTTAGTGCATTTATTGATACTGAACCACTTCACACACTATTATACACTATTGTAGGTACTATTGTTCACCAAACACTATGAGAAATCTAGATTTTTTTCAATGCAAATGCACAGCTATTAAAATGGACAAGCTCCCATACTTTAGAATTCTGCAAGGTCATCAGTCAGCCCTTCATCCCCCTAAATCTTCACCTGCCACCATCTCTGATTTGCACCTTATGATAGCAACTATGTCAAATACATCTTTAACTTCCTTCATGGAAAAAAACAGACTACTTAGCTAACAGAAAGACCTGGGAATTTAGGTGCAGAGTAAATCTAATCATGCAAAAAAAATTCCAAAATATATTAAATCCATATCTGACAGATTTCTAAGACCTTTCAATTAATCCAAAAGAGAATACCAGCATTTTCTCTAACAATTATTGAACTTTACCAAGTGGCAACCTATTGAAGGAAATCAAGTGTCTTTTTTCCTTATGCTCCAAAGATGCATAGTGCAACACATTATCAATGTCAAATGACAAGGTCATGCCTGACTCCTATGGTCAAGTAAATGGCTAGCAGACCAAGATCAGGGAGTGGTGTAATTAACTCTTCAGATGTCTCAGTTCACAAATGAACACAATAGCAGAATTGGAGCTTTAGTTGCCTTTTTATCTTAATCATTCAGTACATTTAACAACACCACTAGACATAATAATCTTGTCTAAACTTTTTTCAAAATTAACTAAAGCCATATAATTTATATATGTGATTTTTCACCAGAGGAGTGACATAAGCACCAATATCAGAGTTCCTTCTTGAACTTGATTGTATCAAGGAATTACTTTATAGCAAATTACTGATTATGGATGCTGCCAAGGGATTCGACCATTTCCCAAATCTCACAAAGCACACATATTTGCATGTGCCTGATCTCGGGCTGTGGACCTTCTTACATCAGTGTTAGTGAAGCAATGGCATTTTACACGCCAATGCTACTGTTCTAACAATATAGCTTTCCAATTCACAAAGCCTTGCCTGGACCAATGTAACAGTGAATTTTAAATTTACTGAGAATCTATAAAGTTAAAGATTCTTTGGAGTCAGGATTTGTTAATAAATATTTTAAACATTTTTAGATAAAATGTACATTTAAAGTAATGTAAAAGATTCTCGATGTTTTGGCTGGTTTATAAAATTCATTCATTTCATAAATTCAAATTTTAAAATAAATATTTAGACAGAAGTAAGGCAGGCAGGGTTATCTCTACCTAACCACTAGATCACTTACAAACTTCAAATATATACAACATTTATTAAATAGATAGGTCTGAAATGTCTTCCTTTTATTAGACTAGAAAATTTAAATTACACTTTGAAAAATATAAATCTTAAATGAATGATTCAAAAAGAAATTTAAAAGGTAATTAAATCTGAGCGCAAGCGGGGGGGAAAGAACAAGGGAGAAAAGATCTCTTGCATTTTGAGTTCACTCTATCTGGCTTGGAACTCAATGGAACTTATGAACCATTAACTTCAATTATACCAAAAACTACAAATAAACCCCAGACTTTGTAAATCTCATTAATTTTAAGTGGAGAAAATGTGGCATAAATAGACTCAATCCAAATCAGCTAATATTAAAACATAATTGGGTTTCAGTTATGTTAAGTTGGTTGTTAGCTACATAGGCAGAATACATTTCTATGGTAAAGTGTATTACAACCTATTTTTGAAGTTGTATAAAAAAGTGAGATTGAAACTGAGAAAATAAGATTTACTCATATATATGTATGCATATATATGCAAAAGTGAGGAATATCTTTATAGCTCAGCTTTTTATATGAAAATGTACTTTTAATTAATTTTAAAGTCTACTCACAGTCACAAACCATTGAATGTTAGTTATTGTTATGTCTATATAAAACATAATTTTAATTATGTTTCCATATTTCTTTGGAAAGCTATATAAGATTATATAATATAAATACATTTTCCATACTTACTATAATATATGTATTTAACAAGACAAAACATGACATTGATTTAAGCCTATTATATTAAAGAAATATAAAATGGGGTAAAATTGAGTGCTCAAATGAAATCACATTTTCTCATGCTATAAATATTATTGGAAAATCTGCCAGTTTAGGGAAGTCTTGTGTCATTATTAGCAAGCAAATTTAGGAGTCAGTCAGTATGTGAAAATGTTGTAGCCCTTGTACCAATCTTTGCTACAATATTTAAACATATATATGAGCTTCTGTCTGGAGACAGCATTTAATCCAGGTCTACGTTATGAATATACTATTATTTGCATTGATCAAGCTGTTAAACCTAGCTCAGGCATTCCACATACCCCAGCTTATAGAAAGCAGCGATGAAGAGAGAGCAGTTAAAATCAGTACACACTGAAAGACAGAATCTCATGTACATACAGCATGTGCACATTTATACCTGAGAAAAAATGTGCTTTAAAGCCCTTCTTGGATACAGTGTTGTCCGATTTGAACTCAATCCTCATGTTGTTGAAGTGGGAAGTAATCACTTCAGGTACATCAGCTCCACAGAATTTGCCGTGAAGTTTAGACTCGGAGGAAAGACCACTCCAGATCTCCACATAATCATATTTGCAAACCTGGACAAACATGGTTGTCATGATCACCAATTAGAGAGAACCAGATGACTGCCTTTTACAGTAGAGAAACCTGCCATGGTTTTTATTTGGTAGTCCTGTGGTAGTCCTACTGGGATTAACACATAAATACAAAACAAATCCAGCAGTAATCAACTATGAGTAGAAAGTATGAAAGTTCAAGAAGTTTACTGTGGAAACCCTCCTGAAGTGGCACATGCTTGTGTCAATTTATTTGTGAGATTCACAGCATGTATTTTTTTCAATACTAAAATATAAGGAGAATTAAGATGAGAATTTGTTCAAAGGTGGTATCTATGTGAAGAAGATAAGCTATGATTCTGACTTTGTTTTATTTTTATCTTTTTCAGGATGAATTGTGACTGCATTTGTCATGTCTTATCTAACACCAATGACAAAAACATAAAATTCCATGCTACATTTGTTCTTGGAATGACCACTATCAACAGAAGTCATCCTTTCTATTTTTTGGCGAGGAAAACAAAAACAAAATAAAACAAACAAAAAATTCCTATGTTCAGAATGTTTTATAAAACATGTACAAAGGGAAACTTATCAAATATGCTTGTGGTTGACTAACTGCCTGGAGTTGTGTTTAGACCAGTATGCATCCTGTGAACATGGCACTACATACCAAACAGCACCCATTGTAACTCCAAAGAATAGACAAACAATTGATGTGTTATAATAAAAGCCTGTCTGGAAAGCTTTTTAGAAGCCTCCTGTTTCTTCATTTCCTGCATAGTTAGATACTGTAAGTTATCCTTTAGGACTTCTATGGGGTTGTGAACAAATGCTAAATATCTTCAGTGGAATAAGTCATGGATTTGTAACAAAATAAAGAAAGATCACATGAAAATGCAAGGACCAACTGAATGCCAAGTATTCTTAAGCAATTTTATGGCCACTAACAGATGTTTCCACAGTACACTTTTTCCCAAGCCCTAACAGAGAATATTCTGCAGAATGCATATTGCATGAACAACTTTATTATATAAACGTGTAATTAGCAAGGCTTAACAATGCATACGATTGAACCCTAGGGCATGATCTGTACTTTGAAATATGTCAACTCAAATCACTGAGATTTTTGTGATATTAATTAGGTGCTAAATAAACAAACTGCTACTGGGAAGAATGAAGTAATTTTTCAGCACACTTTATTAGAGGGTGACATTTGTTGAGAGAGAATTCCATTCTAAAAGAATGCTTCAGATGCTGAAGTTTTTTTCTATTGACTTTCTTCTGGGACATTAGTAGAGAGAATAAAATAATGATGTTTTGCTTATTCTAATATTCTCTAAGTCAATGTTTTGCTTGGGACTTTTATTGTAAACAGTTAAGTTATCAAGCTATGAAAATACACAGAATGCTGAGATGGCTTTCCACACAGTAACACCATTTTAAGTCTAAGAACTCTGGCATATGTTAACAAGTTTACAGCCAGATGTTCTGTGAAGAGTGGCCGTTACAATGAGAGTAAGGCTTTCTAGAACACAAAGCTGCATTGTATCAAACCATCTCTGCTCCTTCCTCCTGCACACTGCTTCTTTTCTTCTCACACCATGAGTCAATCCAAAATGTCTCTCCTAAAGCAACTGAGAGCTGCAGCAATAATTATGATAGTAGGGCTAATTTAACAATCAGTCAATATCAAGTCTCAGAGTGGAAGAGAAATCTCATTTCTTAAGGTGTAGATCATATAAAAACGTTCTGGTTTTATTATAAAATTAATACCTTCACTTTAATATTCACCCTGATTTGAGACAATGGTGTTCCCTGTGGATTAAATATGCTAAGAGGTTTAGTTGATGCCCATCCTATCATTTTTCTTTGATATAGTATTGGAAAAATGTAAACAAATTTACTGGTGTGTGAGTGTGTGTGTGTGTGTGTGTGTGTGTGTGTGTGTGATCTTCATATGTGTGTATCTGTAGGTATGTATGCACATATGTAGGCCAGATATCAGCTTCAGTAATCATTTCTCCTGAGCTGTCCACTTCCTTTTTATGACAAGTGTTTCATGACACTTGAAGGTTACTAATTAGTCCAGCAAAAGCCATGGGTCCTTCTGTCTTGGAGTCCCCATGATGGGACTACAGCACATACTCCCATGCCCTGCTTCCTGTTTTTGTGCTGGATATGGAACCCAGTTCCTCATGTTAGCATGACAGGGACTTTATCAAATAAGCTCTCTCCTCATCCCAGCTCATTAACTTTTGTGATCCCACACTTCTGCCTATGTTTACCCCCCAAAAGTTACCCTCCACCTTTAAGTTAAAGCCACCAAAGGATTTTTTAATGCATAAAGGTATCTTAACCATTGCAAATTGAATTACTGGGGAAAAGAATAGTTCAAGTAGGTCCAAAAATAAATGAAAAAAGTTATTTAAATAAAATACGATAATTAAAATAAATACAAATGAAATAAAAGTAAAAAGAGTATTTCAAAAGCAAAAAAAAAAACAGGAGTAGGGAGTAAAAGAAACAGGAGCCAAAAATACACCAGAGAAGTTGTGTACAAAACCTACAAAATCCCCAATAACAATGGCCTATGGGTGTTCATACATTACATTTCTCATCCCATGTTGTGCAAGTTTCACTAGGTATACAAAAAAGGCAAGATAATTTTCATTAGTTACTTTTTCATTATTCTTAGTGGAATTAAGTCATACACAAATAAATTTAGAAGAAAAGAATAAAAAGGGTTTTAATAGAAAAATGAGACAACAATGGAAACAAACACTTAAAATCTTGTCCTTAAAATAATCCAGTGAAACAAAAACTTCAGCTGACATTTTCTGGCCATCATTCATAAACATTGAGTTGTTTGTGGATCACCCACAGACATTTCTAGATAAGGAATTCGAAAGTGTCAATATGGTCATTTGCCAAAACCTGAGTCTTCAGTTTAGCAAGCTATATTTTGAAAAGGAATAATAAGGTCACCTAAATTTATATTTTCTTAGATTAAAATTAATATTTTGTATGTAAACAGAAGCAAAATTCACAATGAAAAACTACTTATGTTTGAGAATAACATCAATTTCCAAAAGTAGAATATACCACATTATCGTAAGTGAACATTTTTGTTCTGATTCAATTATTATTTTTTCACTTATTATTTTTGTTTGTGATATGGAATCACATCCTAAATACTCTATATTTATTTAGTGAATTGTGAGAATATAAGACATTAAATTAAGTGAAAACCCCTCAGGTAAATGTCAATCTCCCATACATCTCACCACCAGCAGCCTCCTAATACTTGACAGAAGGAACAGTGGAGTCCAGAAGAGGACAATTACATGAACGTGTCACATTCTTCTCTCTCTGTTAAGTTTGTCAGATTGCCTTTGCAGGCTCAGAAACATGATAAAAATATTCAAGACCATTCTCACTTACTTCATTGCCTTCCAATTCGAAAAACTCAAACTTCACAGAGATTCTGTACTGACTTGGAGCAATCACTTGCCACACACAGTTTTTGTTTGGAGGGTACTCTTTGGGCCAGCCAGGAGTGGTTATGGTGCCATTGAGTTTTGTCAGAAGTCCTCCACAAGCAGCTAGAAGGGAAGAGGAAAAGTCCTCCTTAATGAAGGTGCCCCTTCCACGCACCTCCCCTTCAACACCCACCATATCAGCACTAAATGTGAAACAGCTTCAAGCTATCAACTCAAGATGATTCATTCTCTGCCTTTAAGTTTTAGCAACAGAATTTCATCATCAAATCCCATTCATAAGCTGTCAATTAGTGACTTGGCAATGAAGAAAATTGTAGCTGAAGTCCATTTAAAATCGCTTCAAAGTTTGAGTGCATAATATGAAACCAAGTCCAAAATTTCTTCTCTTTTAAAAGCATGTAAAATATCTTACAGTATCTTGATGATACTCTAAGATGAAAAATTAAAATAAAATTATTTTTATGAAGTTAATAAAATTGTGGGAACTAAGGAAAACATATATAGATGAGAGATAACTGATTGATGATGGCTAAGTAAATAGCAATAAATAGATGATTTAGGGATCTTTGACAGATACACACACATGCATACATATATATATAGACACACAGATGACAATAGATGATAGACAGATACATATATTTATAGTTAGATAGATAGATAGATAGATAGATAGATAGATAGATAGATAATGTAGGTACACAGATGACAGATAATTAGATACATAAATAAATAGATGGTAAATAGATAGATGAGAGATAGAGAGATGATGACAGATTTATAGATAGATATTTAGATGATAGTGAGATACAGATAATAGACAGAGAGATGACATAAAAATATTTAGATAAAATAATACCAAACCCACATTTTAAAATTCCATAAATTTCCCAAAGACCAGCATGAACATTTAACCTACACTAAACAAAATGGTAAAAAAGAGAACATATTATTCCAAAGCATGTCATTTACCAAATTATTTTCCTTGATATTTAATTATTTTTTTTAGAATGGGCACTGTTTATATTTCCTTTCTAGGTTCTGATTGAAATTACCAAAGTCAGAGTATCACAAGGCAAGTTGAATAAAACAAGCACACTCTATACATAGCTCAGAAATGATAGCTGGGATGTCCAATAGTTTTCAGAATTAAATGTTTTGTTTACATGCTTATGTAAACATAGGTATGTGTGTATTTGCTACCATATTAGTAAATACTCAAAGTGACTGGTTCACTAAATTTACTGGGTTTTTGATGAATGATTATGAAGGAAAAGATGGTATGGATTATGAAGGAGAAGTGGTAAAGCACCTGCCTATATCATGCGGGGCTTCGGCTTGAAGCTTCAGATAGTAATAATAAGAATACTTAATAAGTATCATTTTCCTTCAGGATTGGTACACAATGTTATCACTTAAAATACTTCACTCTCTTCTTAACTATGCCATTTCCATTTCTGAATCTAGTGCAGAAAGGGGGCTGGGTTAAATATGTAAGATGGAGACTTGAAAACCAAGTCTGAATTCAAACTGTTAAAAAAAATAAGAAGGCAGCGCCATTTAAAAATATAAGCCGGCTGGGGGCACAGCATCAAACATAAAGTTAGTAGCTTTATCAACTTTTGCACTTACATATAATCACAGCCAATAACAAAGGGCTCACTTTCAGAAGACTTACATTTTGGCAGTGAAACTCTGAATTACATGAATATAAATTGTAACTGTCTGTGAAGATGAAACAGTGGGAATCTTGAAAGAGAAATTGGCTGCAGGGATATCAGCCAATCCACTCTGCATTTACACTGAGGGATGAGGCCTCAGTGAAATGGAGAAAGGGGTTTTGAGAGATGACTCAGTGCTTAGAGAGCTTACTACTCTTGCAGAGGACCTAGATTGAGTTCCTAGCATTGATCTTGATAGCTCTTGATCATGTAAGTCCAGTTCCAGAAGACCCAGCTTTTCCATCCCTCTACTGAGGGAACCAGGTGTTCATGTAGTGCATATACATGCATAGAGGCAAAATATGTACATACATGCAATAAAATACATAATTTTTAAATGTAATGAATGAAGAATTAAAATGTAGTAGCTTTAAGTAAAGAAGAAAGAGACTATAGCTACTGGCAACAAAACATCATAAATAAACCCCATGTGAGATTTCAATGAGTAAATGTTGTAACCATGACAAAATGACATTGAATAAAATATTTTAACTCATAAAATATATGCTTATCTTTATGTTGAATGTTTATATCTGTGCCAGGCTATGAAGGTGTGAAGAAGGTCAAATTTGTGCTGGTTAGTCTAACAAGTGAACAAGTATGACCTATACATGAAGGACATCAAGAAAATGCCAAAATAATCAATACATATAGAAATGTGTGGCTGAAGAGATGTAGAAGGATACATTCATATACAAGGAATGGAGAGGAGTGAAACATGTACAGACACAGGGAGGGCTGAAGAGACGAATGAAGGGATGATGAGGGAATGGGTGAAAGGATGCATACAGAGCTAGATGTAGGTTAAAGCAGAGCTGGAACACATATGGGACCTACATCCAAAGGAGGAAAGGGTAGATGCTAGTAACAAGAGACCATGTGAGACTTTGTGTCAGCTGTGGTCACTGTAGGAGAAAAAGATGGCAGACAGAAAGAAAGTGAGAGACAGAGGTCAGAGACAGATGGGGAGAGAGACAGAGACAGACTCAGAGAGGCAGAGGCAGACAAAGACTGAGACAGAGAGATAGATAGACAGGAAGAGAAGGAGAAGAGAGAGAGAGAGAGAGAGAGAGAGAGAGAGAGAGAGTTCACCTTCACAGCTTCTTCTATCTGGCCCCAGTTCATAGCCAGGCTCACAGGCACACTGGTAACTGCCCAGTGTATTGATGCACCTCTGCTCACAGCCTCCTCGGTCAGGCTTGGCACACTCATCTTCTTCTATAAAGTGGAGAGAGATACAAAACAATTAGAGTGTTTAGTCGCTGTTCATGAGAATATAAAACCTCTCAAAATGTGGTGAATAATGGCTTAATTAAACAGACAACTCATTCCTCACCAAAGGGGTTCTACTAAATAAGCCTTTGCTGTGTGACCTGTAGGAATGCATGATGTGGCAACCATAGAATAAGACAGCCTAGAGAGAATAGAAACATCTGCTTCACCTAGAGGTCACCTTATCTCATACGTATGTGTGTGTGTGTGTGTGTGTGTGTGTGTGTGTGTGTGTGTGTGTGTGTGTGTGAGAGAGAGAGAGAGCAAGAGAGAGAGATTTTGTAATTAAGTTGAAAAAGTGCAGTACCACTTACTGATTTCACAGTATAATTTGTTAAATATATCTCAAAATATGCTTTTAGAAGTTGGAGAAACACACAGCTGTGTGGCAGAATATATGATTTGCATATGAGAAACCCTGGGCTTAATTACCAGCATAAGTGCAGACACACAAATACACACACACTGTGTACACACACATACCCCATGTGCACACACAGCATGCACACAAACACACCACACAAATGCCCTAAATACCATCCATAAGTAGATTGAAGTGATTGTAAATAAAAAAATTAATGAAACTTAATAGTTGTCCAGATCTTTTAATACTTTGGTGTATTGTAAATACACATACTATTTATTTCACCAAATATAGTTTGTGTGAACTAGTTATAGTTCAGTTATCTATAATGAATAAATATTGGTACATACTAAACTCCAGTCCAATTTTTCTCACATCAGATATATTATACATTATTTTTAAATGTACACAGACAAAAGACAAGGTACTCCATAGTTTTATCCTACATAAAAAATTTAATGTGGATCATGCAAATATAAGCACTTTATGGAGATTTGTATCAGCAAAATATTAAACACTTTGACAACTAAATGCATAATCATAAGAAATAATGTTTCTGCCACTGTGACATATGACAAAGCTAGAAAAATTTAAGCATGTCAATAGATATTGTAGTAACAGATGAAGTTGCACCTTTCTCTGCCTTTCCATTTACATAGTGGATTTCTGAGCAACTCTTGTTGCTATGGAATAATCCTTCGGTGCCCTATGTGAATATATGTTGTTATGATTGGTTCAATAAACAAGCTGACTGGTCAATAGTTGAACAGGATAAAGTTAGGCAGGAAAGCCAAACTGAGAATAATAGGATGAGGAAGGGCAGAGTCAGGAGTTGCCAGTCAGATGGAGAATGAGTTGGACATGCAAAATGTGTTAGAGGTAAAAGTCATGGTCCTCGGGGCAGCACAAATATTACCAGAAATGGGTTAAGTTGTAATAGCTAGTTAATAACAAACCTGAGCTATTGGCCAACTATTTACAATTAATATTAAGTTTCTGAAGAAAACCCCATCTACATCTTATTGAAAATGAACTGTACTATTTAAATAATAAAAACACTTATATACCATTGGTGAATTTTGTCATATGCAAATTAGCTAATTTATCTCATAAAAGTCATGCAGAGAAAAATTGGTTCATTCTTCCTACTAGAATTTTTTTACTCGAATGTGATACACTTCAAATAAGTGTCTATAAATTTCCTACATGTAAATTTGATGTTACTCTTTGCACTAAAATCAGCTTTCATTTTTCCTAGTAATACATGCTAGAGAACATACCTCAGCTTTCAACAAACTCCAATCTAATCTTGGCTAGATTCAAAGTTTAATGTCACATCTATCCCTGAACAACAACAAAAATCTCAAATTTGTAAGACTTGCAAATTACCTTTAAAAAAATTAGCAGCAAATCCTGCCTTGTTCACGGTTCCATCGGAGACAAACTTCATCCACAGAGTGTTAGAAGTAGATCTTATGTCTTCAGGTTTATCATAACCACAGAACCGTCCTATCAACGGACTGTTTTCACTGGTTCCATCTCGAACTTCTAGGTGGTCATAGGCACAGCTGTCATGTCTTTCAATCTACAATGAAGAATTTGTAAAAATGATTTGCTCATTAATAGATATTAGTAAGATATGTGCATTTGGAAGGTTATCACGTATTCTTACTGGCACAGCACTGACCTAGTAACATAAAAAATGACACAATAAAGACACATTAATACAACAACTTAACAGCTACACTGCACACAAAGGAACACAATATTTTTTTCAAAAAAATCTATGGAATACTCCATCAGCATAAGCCACAGGTAACAGAAGTAAATGCAATGACTGTCTGATTGATTGACTGGTGTATTGATTGACTGAGTCACACTGTAGACTGCAGGTTACCTGAAACTATGCATTCTACTGTGGCCTCAAATTTAACATCCGCATTGCTTAATATTAAAAGTCATGTAGATTAAACTTTATCAAAGTTAAACACAAAGAATTTAATGCTAGATTGACTACTGTTCTCAAAATCATAGTACTAACCTGTATGAATGCAGCAGAGGCACTATTAAAATTTTAAAAATAATTGTTTCTTTGCTTAAGAAACAATAATTGATTTTACCATATTGATAACACTCATTAGGTTCTTTTACCTGAACATTATAAATTGCTTATATTTTTAATTTATAGAAAATTTGCTGTTTACTTAATTACAATTGGAAGTTTAAATACTTCAACGTGCAAAAGTATATTTCCTGAAAAATGCATAAAATCATTAATTTTATGAAATTCTCATTAGTACCTACTTACAAATTTCACATTATTTATATACTAAATAATAGGTATCTGGTACTGACAAATAATGCAGAAATATAAATTGCATTCACACATTGTAAATGTTTGCAGTTGAGCTGCTTAGCAAATGGAGTGTTTCTCGTGTATATAAATCTACAGTATTCAGAAATGTTTCATCCCTTCCCAACACCAAGCAGAGAGACATTATCAGTGAATGGAATGCTGGTGTTTACTTTCTTTTCCAGGTTAAATCTGAGTGTAAAGCCTGTTCAATGAATCTCCTCCACCAATGCTAATTCCGACTATACTTCATTGACTTTGGTTAACAACACCAAGCACAAATGGAAATGCAAGTTTTTCTCCATTTACATCATGCATTCAAGGTTCTCCAGCTCTCAAAGATTATTTTACTGACTGATATTTGGGAAGGGTATAAATATGACTAAAGTTAATAATTGAATTGAGAAATGGAGAAGTGGCTCAGTGGTTAAAAGCACTTGCTTCTCTTGCAAAGAACTCTGATTCAGCTCCCAGCATCCACACAGCAGCTCACAACTGCCTGTAACTCTAGTTCCAGGGCATTCACCTCCATCTTCTAACTGTCTCAGGCTCCCACAATTGTGTGGTATACATGTATTCACAGGTTCACCAGATACATATAAATTTAAAATAATAAATATCTAAGTCAAGTCTATGTATGTTAAACTAATAAGTCTAAGTTCCTTTAAAGAGAGGAGAAAAACAATGACATACAAAAGCAAAAAAATTAAGGAAAAAAATAAAAGGCTGTTTCTTCTAGAGTTAAAGCATAGACATCTCAAGAGTTGAGCACTATTAAATGTGATATCATGCACAATTGACATAAAATGAATATGTTTTGATAATAGCATTGTTTATTGATTACAGACTTTAATGCAACCAGAGCCTGGCAAGTTCATTTCAATGTAAACAGGTCTACTAACCATGGAGACCACATTGAAAGTAAAAGTAAACATTGAACATGTTTTTCAAAAGCTGAAATTTAACTGGCCCTTGAAGGAGATCTGAACACTTAAAGAGGCTCCATGCTTCCTTTCATGATTTAGAAAACCCATACTTTCAACAGCTGCTTAGAGGTGAACCCAGAAAAAGGTGAGTAGTTTCTTCATAGTGAAAAATAAAGTAAATTGTGCCAAAGACATCAAGACCCACCACTCTTTTCTATAGTTTCCGGGTGACTGCTTATAGGAGAGTTCAGAGAAAGGGCCACACCCTGACTCAAAACCCATCCAGCCACACAATGCCTTGTTGAATTGTATATATGTTCACACACATATGTATGTGTGTATGTATGTTTACATTTGCATGTCCATGTTCATAGCTAAATGGTGGACAATAGTCAGAAGGTGTAAATAACATCCACAAATTGGTATATGAATAGACAAAGATAATCTGATGTGTAAATAGAATGAGACATCACTTGCTGCTAAAAGGGTAATATATTTTGATACGAACTGCATTATGGATGTAACTTGAAGGACTTAGAGTGAGTGAAATAAGCTACAAGTAATTATGAATTATTCTACTTACATGAGACATTAGACTTCTCAGTGCATAAACACTGGAAAAATAGGTGTTATAAGAGAATAGAGGCAAAAATAAAAGTAGTTGTTGTTTACTGGCTACACAATTTTAAATGGCATGATAAAAAGGAGACTAGAAATTGGCTTCCAAATGCTATGAATAATTTTCTGTTTTTTATTTTTGAGATTATAATTGGATTACAAGATTTCCTCCTTCCCTTTCTTCCCCCCAAATCCTCTCATACACCCTACCCAGCGCTCCTTTCAATTAACAGCCCCTTTCCTTTAATTGCTATTTTATGCATATATGATGCCCATATATTTCCCAAATACAACAAGTTTAATCTGTATAATTCTGTCTGTATATTTTCAGGGCTGAATGGTGCATCTAAAGTGATTATGGGGGTTGAATGTTATAGTGTATATATTTTATTATAGTAAAAATGTCTCATAAATGTCATAAGTAATTCAAGGTCTAAATTTTAGTTAAATGTAATATAATTAAGACTTAGTATTTAGGCATTTGTACTAGCCTGCCTTTGGAGTTCTGACAGGATACACCCTCAGTTGCTGCCACTAATCACACAATCCTTGCCTATTTGCTATGTTCCCTTTTAAAAGGGCACTGCCCACCTCCCACATCTCTCTCTGTCTCCCTCCCTCCTGCCCTCCCTCCCCCTCTCTTTTTCTCTCCCTACCTCTCTCTCCCTTCTCCCCCCCCCTCTCTCTCTCTCTCTCTCTCTCTCTCTCTCTCTCTCTCTCTCTCTGCCTTTCTTTTCTCTCTCCCACTGCTCCTGTACCTGGAGGCCAATCCCTTCCCCCCCTTTCCCTTTTTACAATCCTTTTCCCTTAATAAAAACCCCTCCACTTGAACTCTGCCCCATGGCGTCTTTCTCTCTAAATCTGCTCCTTTTTAAAAATACAACAAACACAATCAAATGTTAATATTGCAATCAAAATAGTAAAATATTATAGATAATGTTACATAATGGTAAACATTTGGCAAAACATTAAAAAGCATTTTGTTTTTAAGAAACATGCCTTTAGTCCCAGCACTTGGGAGGCAGTGGCAGGTGGATCTCTGAGTGCTCAAGTCCAGCCTGGTCTGCAAGTGCTAGTTCTGGGACAGCCTCCAAAGCCACAGAGAAACCCTGTCTGGAACTCCGCCCAAAAGAAATCTACAATTGATAATTAGCCAATTTATATTCTTAATGGAACCCTCCCAAAACAATAAGTAAATGACAAGCAGAAAAACATAATCTAATTCACACCTATCCTGGGTTATTAGTACATCCACAAAGCATATCTATTTATTGCAAGCTAATGACAAATATCTATCTAAAGAGACAAAATGATTGCTTTCTGCCAGGTACAACAGCAAGGCAAAAACCACACATAGAGTTAAGAATGCTGAAGCTTACTGCAAGGACAGTTAAGGCTGTTAAATATCTCTGGCTTACAGAAAGGCAGTATCAGCCAACAGGGTTGTGTAGCCATGCTGACAAGTCCCTCAGACGTAATCCCTCTTGAATTAATGCATGTGAGGATTTCAATCTAAACAAAATGAAGCTTGAAGTTTATTTTACTTCTTTCTGTTTTGTTGGCATTTCTTTGAAGCTGTTCCTGTAAACATTTCCAGTCTCCCATTTTTTTCTCTGCTATAGTGCTACATGCCAAAAGTTCTCACATAAAACAGTACTCAAAGATCTTATAATGATAATACCACCGATGAAAGGAGTTTAAGTGGTACAAATGAATCCCATATAACATAAAACCTTAGTTTATTATGTTAGTATTATTCGGCAATATATTCAGTAGCAGAAGAGAAAACTCCCAGTGTTGGTCCATTCAGGATACATTTTAAAAAAAAAAAAGTCCATAGACCACAGACTTAGTGGCTTTTGGACATCAGAACTGTATTTCTCTTATGTCTGGGAGATGACAAGCTCATAGTTAAGGAATTGACAGATTCATCAACTATGATGATGCTCTTCTTAGAGGGTGTGTACTCACTGTATCCTCTTCTTACACCTTATTCACAAAGGCCCCGAATCCATTTATGAGACTCCACCCAATCACTCCTAATTACCCCAGACCTTAATATCAACATGTAAGGGGTCTCAAGAGATGTATTTTGAGAGTACAAGCTTACAGAACATAGCAGTCTCCAAATGGTATGACTAGTGTAAATGGAGTTCTCAGTTGTTCTAGATAATAAAAAGCCAGAGTCAAATATAGATGGAAATGCTGAGAGATTAGAGAGAAGGAACAAGCCACAGCACACCTTAACTCTTTAGCGTCTCAGCAGACAAGTAAGCAAGATGTCACCACAGACCCTCTAACTAATATATATTTCTGAAGATTTCTATGTGAAGTTCATTGATTAAGAAACCTGTCCAGTTTTCTTCTGTGTTTACATAATAATCAATTAGCAAAGTGAGCACTAAAGCTATGGCACGAAGTCTTGAAAGTACAAATGATGGCCAATTAGTGAGTGCTTTATAGCAGGCATCAATCAAATGAGGAATCATTTTATCTCAATAGGTTTTTATCTGAAGGAAAAATTTTACATAGATACTGAAACTACAAAACCAGAAGCACTTTTGAAAGGACGTAAAAACTAAGCTTATATAATTTAAAACTATTTCATTGGACTTAACAGTAGAAAGTTTAGAACCAATAAGCTTGTTTTCCATAATAACACATTTCAATAAAAAAGACATAGTATTT